GTGGAGGCTGGTTGTAAACTGGGCTCTGTTGGACGGGGTGAGAAGGCATTTATGATGGGTAGGGCTGCTGAGCATATTGGATATGAAGAGGCTGCTTGTTGTAATCTGCTGTTAAGTGGCTCATCTGCGGCGTCTGCTTGGGTGCCATTATTTGAGAGTGAGCCCTAAATTTCATTCTTTAAGTGGACGGTAAGGTCACTAGTGCACGGCTGGGATGGAAATGCACCAGGCTTGTGTGCTGATGTCCACCATTGGGGTCACCCCTCCATTGCTCTTTGAGGAAACCCTAAAGTTTTTGGGGCGGTCTGGACATGAGGCTGGCGGCCGGGCGGGTGGTTGGGGGTGGTTGTCTCTGGCAGATGCCACTGATCTATCCCCCCCCTCCTTTGTACCCAAGGCCACATCTGGTCAGGACAAAAGGGCTGCATTAATGGCTGGGGGGCCCCAGAGTAAAGGCTATGACCTATGCAAAAGACTCCCAGAGCTACAGCCAATAAAGGCTGGGAACAGGGGCTCCTTGGGCGGGGTGGGGGGTGGGACTTGTGCCATGTGGTCACAGTGACTCACACCCCCTTCCTCATTTTCCCCCTCGTGGTGCCTGCACACGGATCCGGAGGCAGCGATGTAGGATGGGCTGGCGGGGGAGGGGGGGAGGGAGAGGGGAAGCGGGGATCGCTGTTGCCAGGAGACAGGAGTAATTAATTCTTCTATGTGATGTCGCAATGAGTTGAGGCCAAATGGGGGCTGATGGGAAATAGGGTGGGGGGGCTTGTGTGAGGGGACACCCCCAACCCCTGCTGCTGAGTTCCCGAGTGCTGTCCACTGCTGCAGCCTTGGAGAGGCCTGATCTCACACGTGTTCCAAGAAGCCAGTCTACTGAACTGGGCAGCTTCTGAAGCCACGTTGTGTTTGGGGGACACTGGGGATGCACTGCGGGGGCTGTCCTCTTTGTTGGGGAGACCCTGCTTTGCTCACGTCTCCCCTCCCCCAGTCACAGTGAATCGTAGGCATTGCTCAGTTATTGCTGTGGATCTGAATGCTGAGTCTGCAGTGGTCTTGCACTTTGGTGTACTCTGAATTCTACTGGCCACCAAAGACTGAAATGCTGGTATCAGTTTGTCTTTTACCAAATCAGGGCTTGTGATGCACAACAGGAAACCATTCAGGTTCTGCATGCTGAAAACATAATCCTATGTGTTCAAAATGAAATCCTTTTGTTATTGAATGTAAATCAAATCTATATACATGCAAGATAGGATTCTGAAAGCATTTGCAGTACACATGTGCCAGTGACTGTTTTGGTCAGGAAGGCCTTCAGATTATTCTTGTATACCAAAACAGTAGGGCTGCTCGATTATGGTAAAAATCATAGTCCCGATTATTTTGGTCAGTTTTAAGATTATATGATTATTTAACATGACTACTCATTGACTTTGGAAATATCATGCATTTATTGAACTTAAAAATATTCCCTTTTAAACAGTGGATTTTCTTAAACCCTAAATATAATTCTACTGAGAAACAAATAAGAGGGGGCTGGAAAGCAGGGGGGAGGTGCTGGGTTTATAACACAAGACAAAATGGGAGCATAATTGCAAAACAAAATGTGGCACAATTATTTTAGCTTTTGTTTTGATGATCGTTGGAAGCCAAAATCATAATCGAATTTAAAATTTGATTAATAGCCCAGCCCTACGAAACTGTGTCCAACCATGGAAATTTAATAAAAATAGCGTTTGTGACCAAACAGTTACTGTGATGTAGTGATGACATGGCTGGCGTGTGCAGAAAACAGAGGAGGTTAATGGGCTAGTATTTTAAATAGTATTTTTAATCTTCTTGATTTGACAGCCTCTTTAAATAAGAGAATCTTTAGCACATTTCGCAGTGGGTTTTATGAAGAAGCAGCTTCTCTTTCCGTAGATTGTATTTGCATCGTAATCAAACTGTTTAGTGTTAATGTCGGTTGTGTCTGGGTTCTGCCTCAGACAGAACAAGATAGGGGTGTATCCTGGAAGGAACAGTGAGGAAGTTATGATTCAAAATAATAATTATCTTCATGACCCTTTTGACCTTGACCTGGATAAAAGGTTGAAGGATGGATGGATGGATGGATGGATATAGTCATTTTGACATTGGGGTCACTCCCGGCCGCACGTATTAAATCGTGTCGGGTCTGTCAGGTGGAAAACAGCCAGGTGTGTGTTTCGGATTCTGGGGTTTGAAATACAAGCTGCGTTCCAGGTCTGAGGGGAGAGACGTGCTATTAGCATGGACAGGGTGGGGCAGGGGGTGAGGACAAGGTGGGGTAGTGATGTGAGTGTTAGGGTGGTTGGGGGTGTGAGGACATGGTGGATAGAGGTGTGAGAGTTTGGATGGATGGGGGTGTGGGGGACATGGTGGACAGGGGTATGTTCTGAGAGTGGTTCTCCTTCCAGTATCTCTACCCCGCATCTGCTGTTTGGGGGGGGGGGGGACTCCTGTCTTTCCTTATGCGCTAATATTCATGTGAAGCCTGTCTGCACCCCCTCCCCCACCACTGAAACTTCCATTGCCAGGGACCACTCACTTCTCAGCAGGAATTGCGTCAGATGGACTGCCCTGTGGCAATGCCCCCATCCGCACACATGCTGACACATACTCTGGTCTGAAGGGGTTTACCCAGCCTCTGGAGCATTTACCTTCAGCTTGTCTCATGGTATATATGGGTGAGCGACTTGGGGGAGAGGTTGGGGGTTTGGGGGGTACAGTTAAGGGAGGGTCAATTGCGTATGTAAAAGCAGTTCTGATTTGATCTACTACCAGTGGGAGTACCAATGGACAGCTTCAAATACAGATTTATTCTCGTATCTGACAACCTGATTAATTATTCAGGTTTTGCTTTGGGTTTCTGCCAAGAACAGCTCCTGGTGCCGGTCCGAATCCCCCCATCCTCACCTGCCAAATTTGCTTCGCGCGGATCCGACTGCGACCTCTGGCGCTGCAAGTCCGCTTCCAGGACGTCTCAGCTTGCTTACCGCCCTCCCCATCCCGAAATAGTTTTGGCATCAGCACCATCTCTGCCATCTCAGCCCTGCCCTTTGCCAGGAGCTGACCTGCTGCCCGGGTATTTGGGCGCGTCCCCTCCCGGAATGCGTGTCCGTGCTCTTCTATTGATGCTCCGTCCAGAGAGGAAACTGCCAGTTGTTTTGTAAACTGGTTTCCTTCTGTGTATATGCCTTTTCCGACCTGTCACATTTAAATCTTCACGTTAATATATTTTCCTTTGCCTGCGCGCGTGTGTGTGTGTGTGTGTGTGTGTGTGTTTGCGAGGCTTTTCCCAGGCAACTGCTCACCTTACCCAACTGAAGTGTGGCAAAGGTGTCTGAGAATCGCATAGCAGCTGCGATGTTCTTGGAGGAGAAGAGAAAAGCGCGAGGTCCTGATTATGGCTGTGGAGGGAGCGGCGGGGCTCCGTCACGTGGCTGAAGTCTGCACCGCGACTCCCCCGGAGAAGTGTGCCTCGCTAGCGGTCTTGACCCTAACCCACCTATTCACTACGTTTCGCAGCGTGATTCACCCTTCTTTCGCTAAGGTTTCTTGTTACTGTATAGGTACTGCTCATCCAATGGTGTGATGCACCCCCGAGGGAAAGGGATCGGGCCGGGGGGGGTGTTCATCTTAAGATCCCTGTGGAGTCTCTCGAACCCAGGAAAACAAGGGAACTGAAAGCCAAATTCGATGGGAGGGACAGTGGGGGGGTACCTGTGTGATTTGGGTCTGCTAGTGAATTTGAACCCCGCCGGGATTTTTACCATCATCATCATTCTTCTTTGTCTTCTTATTTCTGTTTGTTTGTTTATTTATTTGTTTGTTTATTTATTTAGTGAAACAATGGGCCCATTTGTCCGTGTTTGTCATTTATTCTCATACATGCGAAAGCACGTTTAGGTACCCTTATGCTGACACACCGGGTGTGAAAATGCTCGTTAAGGAAAACGCAGGTTTCTGCAGAGCGGTAGCACGGTAGGTCGAGTCTATCGATGCTTTTCCACTGGCATACAGGAACCGAGCCGTACCCAATACCCAAATGAAGTGGTGAGCCTTTACAGGAAGCCATGATCATTTTTTCAGAGAAAGCGATGAGGAGAAAAGTGAAAACTTTATGAAGTCTACAGGTTTAAAACATAATTTAGTAACCTTGTGTTAGGAATGTACTGTCTATTGTTTTGTGTCAGCCTGAATTGCTTTGGAGAAGATATTCAAGTTTTAAATTGGGTATTTGTGGAGGTGGGTGAAGGATGCAGTGCTTAAAATTGTGTAGCTTGTAATTTATATATGATTTTCTGCATTTTACATTGATATTTATGGCCTATGTTAAATGTGTTTGGCCCATCTGCCATTAGAGTAACGTTATTTTATCGGGTGCTATTTGCTTTTGGTGAATCCTCACAAAAGCAAATGCTTTCTGTTTTTGTATGTGGCTTTTATCCTTATAGATGTTTGTGCAGTGTGTGTGTGTGTGTGTGTGTGTGTGTGTGTGTGTGTGTATTTTTTTTAACAAAGAATCCTCCTCATACAATGCGAAGGCTTTGCGGATTAAATTACCGCGGACTCTATGCTCTACTCGCTTTTCGTGAGGTGTAATTTTGCAGCAATGCACGTACAATCTTCAAAGAAGTGAGTTCGAGCGTAACACTCTTAGCAATTTATGAATCGTCCTCAGTTTGTTTCAGGGGAAATGTGTCTGCTCCAGTCACAGGCAAGTCAGCACTATGAAGACCGCTTAAACTGAGCCCCCAACACTGCTTAGATACAAGAAAACCCCTCAAAAAAATAAAAAAATAAATAAATATATATATATATATATATATATGTATTTAATTATTAGCAATAAAATTATTTTCACAGTTAGGCCTATATTTTCATTGTCGCTGCGTGTGTACACACGGCAGAACGTAACACCTGTCACAGGTCTTTTTTATCGTGTACGCATATAGGCTACATAAAATCGGACAAAATCTGTTTTCCTTTTTTATAAGAACATATACTTCTGTTTCTCGGTCAGACCACAGGAACACGACAGGAAGAGATGTACCGGTACCTCTAATTGCATCCGTTTTTGCTTTTTCGAGGTCAGTACTTAAGCGGCCCGGGTTGTTGTCGAAGCCTGCTGAACGGAATACAATCTATTGGATTAATGCATACGGAATATCATTAAAGGCGTGTTTTATTTTATAAACCGCAACATCTGTGCTTATATATAATTTTAAGCATTTGTCCGTATTTAAGTTTTGAGTAAAACGTCAACTAAAACTGGAAGTACACCAACTGTATTCATCCATTTAAAAAGCGCACAGAGGGTTAAGCAGCAACTGACAGGTGAGATATTTAAATTTTTCATTGTAGTTTGTAAGCGAATTTGATGACTGCATGCAACGCAAATGTATTGAATCTTTTATGCATATCATTATGAAATTGTAAGTACTGTGATATCCACAAATCAGAGATATTATTTGTGGGAAATTATTACATTGTAGCTCTGTCTTATGTGGATGGGCCGGCTACCGAGAGTTACCCCCCCCCCCCCAAATTTCAATCAGAAACAATTTGATGGAAATTTAGCATACTGAAAACTCCCAATAAATGCTAGGTTTCGTGACTTGTTAACAATGTTACGACTTTATTTCATTGACACAGATGCCGTCCTCCGTCTTTTAAAATGAATTTATGCGTGACCGTTCATCTGATACTCCTCAGATTAGTGTTCTCCACATTTGTGCCTGCTGGGAGAAAATGCTAATTGCCTCACATTTATTCTTGTGTGTATTTTGGAACCGAAATGAATTTACTATTAAGATAACTGTCAGAGAGCTCCTGGTTTAACTAATGGCGCTGCTGACGCCAGCCTCTGGCCCAGCTCTCCCTGGGATTTCAGCGGCTGTTGTTTCGTGTTTGTCTGCTTCATCACCCACAGTTCCGCGATAAGGGCTGTGTACTTGTACTTTAGACTGAACAAACTCTCCCGGCTGCCTGTCCGGAGCTTAGGCGCTCCGACGGAGTCTGGACTGACGGATGGTCCTTGTCAGCAACACCGCAGAACCTTTAATGACGTGACTGTAGCGGTCCTGCTGATTATGGTGCGGGGATAACTCGAAGAAGGCAGTAGTGTGGTTAATCACCACCCCCTCTCTATTTCAGATTATTTCCAAGGCACCCGTCCTTTTGCGTCACCCCCAGATCGTCCTTGAATGATAAGCGAGCTCAGCCCGAAAGGACGCCGTGGAAGTATGGCTGAAGGGTTGTCTGATAGGGCGGAGGGCGGTAGTCTGCTCCTCCAGTATGTAGCAAACTCGCTGGCCATAAATTCATATGACCCTCTTCCTATCTTAAATTTTAGCCTGCTCCAGACCTCAAACACCGTAGGGTCAAGCCTTTCACTACATCCTTTACCTTTGGGGGCTCGGGGGAAGGGATACAGTAAATGTATTATAAATTTAATTTATTGCATATTACACTAAATGGGCAATGTGCAATGTCCAGACATCGTGGTTCTTAGCACTTGAAGCAGCCCCTTGAGACGCGCTTAGTGAAATGCATTAGATCCGAGTGGGGCAGCGGGAAATAACGCAGATTCCGGCCAAATGGTTGCGGCGTCGTTGCCTCATTCTTGTTTACTCTCAAACAAAACCCAGCCGGCTTCACCGGCTCCTTTTCCCCCTGCTTCGCTCGGCTGTTCACGCTGCGCTGTTTTTCCGTATGATCACACGGCGTGAGTTTCGCCTAATATATTTATATTTTTACAGTTCTCCTACTCGAAATGGTGTGTCTCATATTTTGGGATCCGGTAGTGGAATTGCCAGTGTGTAATGCGTCACAATTGCGGTCAGAGGCACTATGTGGCTGTACTGTTTTGCAGGAACCACGTTACGCGTGTTTCGGATGCGAAGATCGTGCAGTGAATTATGTATTAAAACCGGTGTCTGACCAAGTTGTTAATGTCTGTTTGTTGGCAGTTTCCCTTTCCCATTGGGAACGGATTTATTCTTGTTCCAGGTGCTTACCGCAGGCTATTCACAGCACGTTTTAATAAATACATGCAAATAAACACTGAACAGTACCGGGTAGTGTTTTGTAGAAGTACAGCCGCAACTTCATCCTATATAGCAAAGAGGCACTGATATTGACCACACATCTCTTACTAAGTTACTAAGGATAGTACTGGATAGTACTGACAAAAATCATAATAACGAAAACAATCCTCCGGAATGTCTTGCACTGTGCAGGAATCTGCCCTATTTCCTGTGGTATGCGTCGATGTTATATATATAATATATGTATGTATGTATATGCATAAATTACTGGAATCTGTTACTGGAATCTAAACATTGATATGCCGCCTTAGAATCTTTACGATTCACATCCCTTCTTCTTTTATTTTTCTTAATCGTCGTCAGCGACATTCTGCAGTTAGCCCGACTGGGTTATTGGTGATTAGCAGTAATGCGGAAAATTGGAGTCTGCGGTTAAATCGGCTGGCCCCTTTTCCCTTGCCCATGGTGGCGCACCTCCGTGTATGTGCCTCTGATTGATCCCAAATGTGTCAATGCTGAGCCAGTCGAGCATGGCTTTAGGCACCAGCATAGATTGAGTGTTTCTCCTCCCTGTGTTGATCTCTGGTCTATTTGGGAATTTCGAGAATGCCTGTCATTCCGGATTGTTTGTTTTGGCTTTTTATAACCTGTCCCGTTCAATGCAGACTCCAGACAGCTTTAACATCATTAAAGAAGGCCAAGCAGAGGCACCCTCACCACATAGTGCTACCATAAGCAACACTAATCTTTGGGGATTCCTGGTCCCTGACTGTTCTAGGTGCTTTGCCTTACATACATTACCTAGAACGCTGTGGACTGTCTGGCAGAGAACTGGGAGGGAGCAAAAATGCGGACCATCTGGGCATCACCAAGACCTAGTTTGAGAAACTCAACTCTGTAGCAGAGGATAAGCAAATACTGTAATTAAACAAACAATAAGACATTGCTTGGGGGTTTAACCTGGGAGGGGGGGTTCAGCTTGAGACAGTCAGTGTGAATATGACATATTTTGGATATTATTTGCTGCTGTTTCTTCATATAGCCTACAGTTCAGTCAAGTGAGGAAAAAAAACTCCAGATCAGCCTTCTTTCTGCCCCCGTAACACCTCCTACTGTCTCCATGGGACTGAGCAAATGCCTAATGTCGGGTCAGAATGACAGCGCCCCCTTTTGGTAGTAAAGTGCATAGGACTGTTCTTGAGCAGGGTTTGTCCTTGGTCCCCCTCCCACCATGGCATGGCCAAGGCCTTCTGGGTCAGTCGTATGGAGTGTCTTTTGGTAACAGGACACACCGGCTGCCATCTGGAATGTCTTTTTGCATTTTGTTTATTTTTCTGTTATTTGCTGTGTCGCCTCTGTATGGACTTTTGAGTGGTTGCCCTGACCTTTGCAGGATGGCCATTCAGATCCTCTTTCTCCTGGCTTATGACAGAACGACGTAACCTTGTTCCAATTCAAAGGCTGATCTCTGTTTTTCTCCTCTGTCTTCGGCTCCCTTTCTCTCTCTGTCTCTCGCTATTTCCCCCTGCCCCGTTCTCGCTCCCTTTTTTGTTTTCATTTGCCATCTGATTGTATCTGGTTTTCTTTGCTGTCCTGGTCCACGTTTTGATTTGTGGTCCGCGCATTAATTGAATGTTTTCTATGGCTCTGTGCTGAAACCAGAATTCCCAGAACAGAGCTGTCAGGCGCCTCAGGTCCTCTGTGGGTTACTTTCTCTGCGGCCTTGAGCCGGCTCAGCTTGGGTAAATAACTCTGTGGTAAATAGTACGGATCCTTTTCAGTAAAGCTATGCCGCGACGCAAATAAAGAGCGTGAAGTGGCATTTGCTGATGTTTACAGTCCAAGGCCGCTTCCTGGGGAAATGAGGTGTAATTTAATGGCACTATTGAGTTCTCGGAGAGAGAGAGAGAATCCGCTCATGTACGACTGAGATGTTATGTAGCGCCTGCGTGTCGGCACCGAAACTCTTGCGTCAAACGGGAAATAGCTTCCGAGCCACGCCCCCTGGCTTGCATCAACTCAGGGCCATGGAACTGATTAGAGATGCACCGATTGTATCGGCGAGCTATTGGTATCAGCCGATATAACAACAATCAGCCGATGGTTAAAAATTAGCTGATATTTACTGCCGATAATTCCCTTTAAAATGGTATCCCATACTGCTTCGCACACCCGTGTATTAACCAGTTAGAAAAATGTCTGCTGTGTAGAGTTATTTTAATGTTGGCGAAAATGACGTTACAAATGCATTTTGCAGAAATTGTTCTGATAGAATGTAATGAGAAGGATCTACCAATAAACATTTCAACACCGCACTTTAAGGTGAGACAGGGAAGAGTATGAAGAGTTTCCAAAACACAAATCCTGCAGTACTGCAGAGTAACGCCGGCCCATCAGTAAAGCAAACATTTGATAGCAAAAAGACAATTCAAAGCAGACAGTGCAAATCAAAAGGTATTACTCAGAAAATTACAGTTTATCACAACTGGTGATCAGCCCTTCTCTGTTATAAATGTTATAAATATATAAGGTGTATACAGTCGGTGTTTTCTTACCAAAAAATAAATACTTTTACATATTTTTCGAATGTAATTAATTTATTTTTACATTTATTTGGGTGGAGTGTACGGAAGTTATTGGTGCATCACTAAAACTGATTATTAAGAGAATCGTTGCCATTGACACTTAGCTATGTGGAAAGAATTGTGCTTATATGAAGGATTTTCAAAGATGGACAGTGTTGGGGTTGGGGGACACGCGGCCTCTCCATACCTCGGCAGTGTGTGGAGATCCACTCGGGTAAGAGAGGAGCTGGGAAGAGTTCCCTTCAAGGACAGAGCCGCGTGCCGCCGCACCTCCTAACAGGAGGTGTCATCGGGGAAATTATCATCAACCATGAACGCTTGATCGTGGATGGATGGACAGCAATCCGGTAGCTTAAGAGCTGTCTGTGTTTTGGTGTAGTAGATGAGTCTTTTTGTTGGTTGGGTCCAAAGCTATGGAGGTATTAATGTTCCACCCCTTTGGCTTTGCCCCCCCCCCCCCCCCTGTCTCTTGCAGCCTTACAGTGCCACTGCCACACATGCGCCAACCTCACCTGCGTCACGGACGGCGTGTGCCACCTGGCGGTCACCCGACAGGGCGGCGGCGTGACGGTCCAGCGCACCATGTGCATCGCCGAGAAGGACCTGATTCCGCGCGACCGACCCTTTGTTTGTGCCCCCTCCCTGAAAGACGACACCGTCTACCCTGTGTGCTGCAGCACCGACCTCTGCAATAAAAACCTCAACCGGAGCTTCTTCCCTGGTAGGCATTGGAGGGGGGGGGTTAGGGTTATGGTGGTCTATTTTGTTTCGGGAACCACCCCCAGTCTATAATATATAATTTGCCTTCATCTGCCATAATATTTGCATTTCATTCATTTAAAAGACGAGTGCAAAGTGACATTTCTTTTGACAAACAAGGACAGACAGTTCCTGGAACAATTGGGGGTTAAGGGCCTTGCTCAGGGAACCAACAGTGACATCATCTCCCCATGACAGGCACAGTCTCCTAACCCCACTGAGCCACATGCCTCCCCCATAATCATTATGTCTGTCCTACAATTTGACATCATGTTTAATAGCCATTAAACTGGCTTCTCCATACACTACCACTGAAAGCTAACCTTTACCTACGCTTACGTGGCTTTTACCAGAACTGTTCTCTGATGGGGTCAGGGCTGTGCATGATGTATGTGTGTTATCATCTAACGCGGCAGAATTTTCCTGTGATAGAAGTTCTGAAATAAAGCTGATATTTTTTTTTTTATCTGATTGCCATTGGTCAAATCTTTTTGATTCTCTTGAATATTGGTGAAACTGATTCTCCGCCGAGATTTTTAATTGATCTTATTCTTTTCCTGCATGGTTTGTCTATGCATCCGGAAATTAAAAATCAGTATAATGACGTGAAGTGCAACCGGAAAATATTTGCATAAGTAAAGCAAACATATGTTTCGGAGAACTCAAAGATTCCCTCCTCGGCTTGCATCCTGCCTCTGAAAGCTTTGGGTCACACATCGTGTTCCTGGCAGAGTACTGAACTCGCGTGTTTGCATGCGTCGCAGAGCAGAAGCTCTTGAATATATCGATTCAGTAATGTTACTCCTGTATGCCCTATCTCGTACTGACGTCACTTGCTGGTTCACCTGCGTAGAGGATGATCCGCATCCACCTGGATGAGGAGCAGTGATGTAGGAACCGTAGCTAATAATTGAGCTTGTTAGTGGTTAATGTTAGTTGTGTTGCGTTGAAGTGTGCTTCATAGTACCTTACTGCAAAAGCCGTGCCGTGATTGAAGCTCTCTGACCACAGATTTATCGATATCACCGCGGGCAGAAACGGAGGGAAATGGCTTCTCTCTGCCGACCGAAGAGTCAGCGAGAGCAGAGTCCCACGTTTCGGGCTGGAGTGTCCCCAAGTGGGTGCTGTTCCGCTCCCAGAAGGATGACAGCCCGTAATTACGTGACTTTAAAAGTCCCCTGGGGAACGGGGTGCAGATCTTTTCGCTAGTTACCGAAATTTTGCATGTGTCTCCACTTTTACACCTTCTGAGAGAACTCCTGCCTTTTGGAAAACTGCCATTCTGTAATGATTTTTCTCTTAAAAGGGACCCCTCCATATTATTAAACATGTTCTTGACTCTGTTAGACAAGAAATGTTTGCAGAGCAAGAGCGATCTGCCTTTTTCGAATATGGACAGTGATTTAGGGACTCGAAGGCATTTTCCTCAAAACCTGAACAGCACACGTGTAGAACTGGGCTGAAAGGAGATAATAACCATGTTTTCCAGGATAATGGGACCATCTTCCTGTTTTCCCCACTGAAGATGTACAATAGCAGGCAATCTCCCAGGATACCTGTTTTTACACTCCATTTTACACCGGCCTGCTTCCGGTTACCTGCTGGCTAGAGACGTAAAGATACTTCACTGACATTATTGGTCGACTTTCTGCGGGGGGGGGGTTAATGCTTGTGATAATGAAGAACGGTGCTGACATCATGCCTACGGTAATGACGCTTTACTGCGTCTAATAGTCAGCCTGTTTGAGATTCATTAGATGTATGGGGTTGACCCGTCTGTCACCATATGTGTCACGCATGTCAAGCTGTCTACTCAAGCTAAGTCAGATTGCATAACACCCATACAAATATGCCCCTGTAAAACAAAAAATCAAAATTAACATTTTGTCACTAAAGCTGCCAGAAGCCGCATCTTACAGGACAGTAAATGTCACCGGACCCGCTGTTGACATTTTGCCGGGGTCACCGTTGCAGTGAGTGCTGTCACATCCGTGAAAACGCCCCTGCCAAGTCGATTGGTCTGCCGTGAAAACACGGGCGCTCAAAAGGTCAAACACGCTTTGCTGGGGCGGGGGGACAGAGGCTGACTTAGGAGGAGGGATGAAGTTTTGGTTTTTAATTAGTTGCCTCAGGTGCGAGATGCCCTCGTGTTGCCTTTTGTATGGTATTCCTGCAAAGCCTTGCTTGATTGGCCGACCAGCGGTGACATGGGCGCGGATTGGATGGCGTGTGTCACATGATCATTCTGCTGCTAATGATCACAGACCAGCCGCTCTCTGGCTTCAGCAGCTAGGCTGGAACACTGGGAAGCTCTGCAATGAGGGTACCTCAAATCTCAGAAAAACTATTTCTTGACAGACTGTTTGAGTAAAAAGTTTCATTAAAAAAAAAAGCAGGATATTGTGTTAATTCTCCTCATGGTGAGACTCCATGTTGTGGCTGGCTAAGGCAGGGAAATTACATTTTCTAATATTTCTGTTCAGCACAAATTTTAATTTCTAATTTGTATAAATGCTGTTTTCTGTGAACTCTGAGTTCACATACTTTTCATTCTCTACCATGAGTTTCTTCTGTATATCTATTTTTTAATTTGGTGTCTTGGTATTTAAATGTAGCATTTGTAGGAATCCAAATGGAGATTCATTGTGCAAGGATATTCTATTCTGTTCTATTCTGTTGGCTGATATTAAGCGCAGCACAGTGGCTGAGTGTGTAGCACTGCAGCCTCGTCCTTGCAGGTGTGCGGCTTTCAATACCCCCACCTCTCTGAGTGTGTTTGCTTCCCTGTTCCCTTTCATGCGTGTCCTCTGTACAGCCTGGTTTTCTCCGGTCGTCCATGATCACCTGTTTGACTCCAAATTGCCCAGAGTGCGAGTTCCTGCCCTATGATGAACTGGGGAGTGTGTAAATGCAGATGCACCTGCCCTATAGACGTGTTATTTTCAATTTCCCGTTTATTGTTAGCACTTTACGTAACTGAAAGACATTTACTGTAGAACAAGTTAATAAATATTGGTAATATTATTTTAAATAATAATAATTTCACAAATAAATCTATAGTTGTTAATAACTTTTGTAATTGATTAGCATGAATAAACTACTGATAAAAATTAATGAAAAGTCATCTAACCAATTCATTAATTGATGGGGGAAAAAATTATTTGTAAACTGCATGACAAATGCCTTGATTTTGGGAAAAGCCACAACTTTTGGTTATTGGTATGCTGCATGATGAAAGCTCGCCCCCCCCCAGTGCATGCGAATGAGCTCATTCCCACCGCTGTGTCCCCCCCCCCAGACCCCCCCTCAAAGACCCCGCCCCTGGGCCCCGTGGCGCTGGCAGCTATGATCGCAGCCCCCGTCTGCGTGCTGTGCTGCGTGCTGGTGCTGGCCTTCTACATCTGCCACAGCCGGGCCGTCATCCACCAGCGCGTGCCCAGTGAGGAGGACCCCTCGCTGGACCCCTTCATCACCATGGGCACCACCCTCAAGGACCTCATCTACGACATGACCACGTCCGGCTCCGGCTCGGGTGGGTATCGGTCTGGCACGCGAACGGGGATATCGCTCGATTTATGGACAGACTGGCTGAAATGGATACGGGGGGGCACCCCAAAGGGGCCCCATTAAACTCATCCTCGCATCTCCACTCCGTTGCCCTGACACCCGGCCTCCCCATCCTCGGCTCTGAATGGGCGATTCGGAATTGCTGCCTTCATTCCGGCGGGAAGCTCCATCAGCTGGAGCTGGTGCCCGGTGAAGGCCGCTTCAGGCCGTGCTTCTCATTCCCGCATGGCCGCCGCCTCCTGCTCTCTGCCCCGGCAGTGCGTATGGCCGCTCGCTCTGCAGCGTTTTTTCCGCTCCTAGGCTAATGGCTCGTTTGGACATTCCGGCGACCACCTGCTGCTTTCTCTTTAATTATGTCTTCCTGTAGCGCCCACCCCCCCCCGAATTTATGGCTAGGTGCCTCTGGTCGAGGCTTTTCCGAATCCTCTAATTTGACCAATTGAGTTTTTTCCACACGCACGTTTTTTGGGCCCCCGTGAACCCTGCGATGCCTAAAGTGCATCTGAAATTGCTCCTGGCTGCACTGTAATGTTTTAATTGCCATGCATTGATGCACTTTAGGCGTGGAGTCCATCCACCGCGTGTCCCCTGAGGAACCAGCATCTGGTACAGGGTGTACCAGTGGTTCCTGGGATGGGCTCCAGACTCGCAAAGATCCTGGACGGGATAGATGGGTTTATAGACTTGTACTGACGTATGTGACCCTCGCGTCAGGCCTGCCGCTGCTGGTGCAGAGGACCATAGCCCGGACCATCATCTTGCAGGAGAGTATCGGCAAGGGCCGCTTCGGCGAGGTGTGGCGCGGCAAGTGGCGGGGGGAGGAGGTGGCCGTCAAGATTTTTTCATCGCGCGAGGAACGTTCCTGGTTCCGAGAGGCGGAGATCTACCAGACTGTCATGCTACGGCACGAGAACATCCTGGGCTTCATCGCTGCCGACAACAAAGGTGGGGTCACCGTGGCAACCGAGGGGGGTATTACCTTCACTCTACAGGGAGGAGCCTAACAATAATAATAATAATAATAATAATGATAACAATAATAATAAGAAGAATGACGATATTGATAGTAAATAGTAAATAGTAAATTAGTAATAGTCAACAGTAATAGTCATTTTTTTCTGAAATGTTACTATATATTTGCTCATTTTATATTATAAATAATATTAATTATATACCTTACCTGGGATAGGATCCAGATTCTCTTTAACCTTGTACTGGATAAGCATGTAGATGATGGACGGATGTATGGATGAATGGATGGGTGGATGGATGGATAATAAAATATAAATAATATCAACATAAGTAATATATTGTAAATGTCTTTATGCACGCTGGTATTTCGTGGTTGTACACTGCTTGAATTTTGCTTTGACCCTCTGCTAATTGAGATTTCAGAATGCATCCTGCATCCGAACTTCTTCTTGTGAATAATTATGAATTATTTGTATTTCTGACTCTATTCACCGTACACTGATGTTACGGATTTTGCCTTTTTTCTCCCCCAAAAAGGTCTCCTGTTATGTTTCACTCCCTCACCCTCGCTGTTTTTTTTTTTTTTTTTTTGAAATTTCAGATTAAATCTAATTAATTTCCGACACTGTTGCTCCAAAGCTTATAACGAAGATTTAGGGACATTTACAAGTGGATTGGAAACAAATTAAGAGCCTCACCCAGGGGCGAACGTAGCATATTGTGCAAGAAATGAGAGAGAGTGAGAATGAAGCTTTAGAAAAGGGGGCCGTCTCGCAGTCCAAGGCCAAAATCCGGGGGGGGGGGGGGACACTAATTTTAGACCAGCCATAAAAAAAAAAAGTGTAGGCGTAAGAACACAAATGGAAAGTGGCATGGTGATCCCCCTGTTAGACCTGCTAGGTCAGCCAGCACTATTATTCACCATGGTTTGAAAGGCAGACTTCTGACTTAAATCCCCCTCCAGATAACGGCACGTGGACACAGCTGTGGCTGGTGTCTGACTACCACGAGCACGGCTCGCTGTTCGACTACCTGAACAGGTACACAGTTACCGTAGAGGGCATGATCAAGCTGGCCCTGTCCACCGCCAGCGGACTGGCCCACCTGCACATGGAGATCGTGGGCACACAAGGTTGGTGTACATGTTTTGGGGGACGGGGTCTGTCGTTTGGGGCAGCCCTTTGGCTAAGAGTGAGATGTGTACATTTCTTTTTTGTACTGAGCTGGTTTGTGGAACCTGGTCAGTTTCGCTCCATGGGGTTCAGAAAGTGACAGTCCCTTCTGCATCTTCCCACTGGAAAACAATGAACCCTCTATCTAATTCTCTACCGCCCCCTGCTGGCTGTCTCCATCAGGAAATTTTAATTTTCTAAAATTATACTTTTTCGTCTGCTCAACCTAGGCAAGCCGGCCATTGCCCACCGGGACCTGAAGTCCAAGAACATCCTGGTGAAGAAGAACGGGACCTGCTGCATCGCTGACTTGGGGCTGGCGGTCCGCCACGACTCGGCGACGGACACCATAGACATCGCTCCCAATCACAGAGTGGGAACCAAAAGGTGCAGGGGAGCGGGATCAAGGATACTCGTCTAGAAGGTCCTTGAAGGCATTGCTCACGTTCTACAATCTGCCTTTCAGGGCAATTTAAGCAGATTCTTCTGGCCTTGAGCGACAGACATGCCTGTCTGTTATTGGCTGGCACATGAGTGTGGGGGATGGGTCCAGCAGGGGATTCGTTGAGGATCTAGGCTTCGCTTTTTCGCTCTCGATGAGATGAATCCGTCACATACCTCATTTGTTGGGAGGTCCGCTAATTCTCCAACATTCCTGGTTGTACCCCTGCCCCCCCACCTTTGCTGGTGCACCCTACTGTTACGGGAAACCCAGCTCACCACCTGAGCCCTATCTTAAATTAAATGGGGGGGCATCTTTTCCTTGATGCCCTGCTTCCCTCTGCACTGTACAGCCCTACATCCACTCAGGTGCTGTTGTCAGCAAGGTGGAGGGAAAGCAGGTTCTGCGAGACCCTCTTATTTTAGGACGCTGTCTTTTTCTCTCCTGGGACAGCGACTGCGTCTCTGGTTCTTCTGCACACCCATCCCTCAGCGGTCCCTTTCTCAGGTTCTGTGTCCCCGCTAACGACGTGTCTCCAGTGCTCCGTTCCCTAGCAATGCGTGACCTCATGCCCTGTGACATCATCACCTGCTCTGTCTCTATCCCCCTTTACTCGTCCACGTTGGCTGAGCAGAAGAAGACTGACAGGCAACAAGAACTGGGAATGGTCGTGCGGGGGGGTTTCCATCCCCTGTGGTGACCTTGTCAGAAAGACTCCCAGGGATCAGCCCTGTTGTTGATGCACAATGTCTCCTACGGGAGTGAAAGGGTTAAATATCTTTTCAGACGCTCCTTGGACCTTTGTTTAGTGAGTGTTTTTAAATAATAAATGTTACAATAAAGTTGCATAAATGATTAATACTGTTGGTAAAAGTAATAACGGCCATACCGCAGTGAATAAAGACTGAGAAATGTGCTGTGAAGAGTGACAGCTCTGGGATCAGCGGCTATGCTTCATTCCCGGGGGCCGGCATGACTTAATGAGCCAGGCCCATTTGCGAAGCGACCGGCTGACCCGTCTGCAGCGCCGACCCGTTTTCTACGGGAGCCGAAACACAAATTTACACCGAAAAAGTGTGAAAGTACAAGACTCAGTTTTGATAAAGGGAACTGATTTAACCCATCAGTTGGACCTGTGGCCAGATCTGTTGAAAGCACTTTGACCGTATAATTTCTCCCCAAACAGATATATGGCCCCAGAGGTGCTGGACGATACGATAAACATGAAACATTTCGACTCATTTAAGAGGGCTGACATCTACGCCATGAGCCTGGTCTTCTGGGAGATCGCAAGCCGCTGTTCCATTGGTGGTAAGATCAATGGCCGCGATCCTCGTCTGCCCAGAAACTCCGTTCCAGAACTCCTTGTAGCCAGTTCTGAAGAGAATCCCATGGCTTTTCCCTTTTTTTCTCCTTTATTTTTTTTCAATCCTGCTGACCTCAAGCAGCATTAAGTTTTCATTCAGAGTTTTCTTACTTTGGCTGTGATCACTCATCCATCTGTCCATTATCCTGGTTAGGGTCATAGGGGTCATTATAATGTTTTATGGAAATGATTCACTGAATTATAAATATTTCATCCACAAACTCTGAATTATTCACCAGCTTTCCACAGAGCCTTGCCTGAATGTGTTCTCCAGTAGTCTGATCTTTCCTCTAGCCCTGTACCACATTAGGAAACATGGCACCACACCCATCTCATGGTTCTGACGTGTTACATTCAGAGTAGAACCCAACCTTGGTCCCCTTGTGTACAGGTATCCATGACGACTACCAGCTGCCTTACTTTGACCTGGTTCAGTCGGACCCCTCAGTGGAGGAGATGAAGAAGGTGGTGTGCGAACAGAAGCTCAGGCCGAACATCCCCAACAGGTGGCAGAGCTGTGAGGTTCGTGTCCTTCCCTGCCTGCCCTGTAGGGGGCGACAGATGCCCTAAGATTTCCTTGCCATTCCCCTGCTGTTCTTCCTCATTCCTCTAGGAATTTGTGTTTAAAGCAAGAGCTACTGCTGGCTTTTCATTTCTTAATTACTCATTTCTTACCAAACCAAGAGGCCACCTGGGAGATTTATTTGCGCGATTAATGTTTTGGGTTGCCGTGCGCGTAATGAAACACTTTGATACAGAGATCTCAATGAGCATTTACCAGGGCTTCATTTAGGTCTCCTGTCCCCTGGGAAAAAATGAGACACAGTGGCTAGACCGCACTGCTTCTCACATGTCTCCAGGCCCGACCCCCCCATTCTATCATGGAGGTGGAGTCCCGGCATTTGTGATCTGTGTGCCTTAGGAACAGGCTAGAATTAGAATGAAGCCACTTTACAGTAATAACATCCCGTAATTCAATCTCTGACCCGCTGGAGCAGCGAAAGCGGGCGAGCCGTTTAGGGAAGCTCCTGCCAGTGAGGCAGATGCGTATGCCCGTCTGGGGATCGGATGCCGTCCACGGTCTTCTCAGTGTCTGCCGGAGGAGGCGTCCTCCGTTTCGTAGTGGACTGGCTGGATTTTGGATCTGTTGAATCAGAGCAACAGATTCCTGCTGCGAAATGACCAAATTTTATTTTATTTTAGATATTATTGGAAAATGAGAAGCTAAATAAAGAGCCTGGTTTTCTGTCGTGCTTCTTTTCCTGATGATATTTTCTGTGATGGGGGAAAAAAATTGACCCGCTGGCTTTTTGTTTTTTGCCCCCATAACCCTGCTGTTTACATAATGATGGTGGGCTTTTTTGGGAAATCCTGACGGAGGGCAGTGGTTACACTGACGGAGAATGATGCCACTGGTGTATTTTTAAATAATGAATTATTTTTCAAAAAGTACTCTGATTGCCATATGGCTAGATATGCTATTGACTAAAGGTCACTTTCAGGATATAACTGAATCAGATCCAAGCCTCCTGTGGACTGCCGATATGCACTTTTAACAGCCTCTCGTAGGAATGCTGGGCCTGTTGCGATTCTCAGGTGCTGCTGTGAATCCAAAGTGTACTTAAGCGAAGGAACTGTTCCTGATCTATACAGGAACTCTAATGCAGGCAGCTTCTGAGGAACATCTCAGGAGCCATATTTGTTCATCATTCAAATCCTCCCTATCGATTATACTACCAATATTTTTGATTATTATTTTTTTAAATTTTATTTTAATATTATTTTATCAATATTTTGATTTTTTAATTCAATTTTATAACTTCCTGGGAATTAACCCAAAGCAGAAGAGAGGTTTTTTTTTTTTACACAAATGTTTGTTTTTTTTCTATTTGTAACTATTTATCGATTTAGTTGTGATTAACTGATTCTGCTTACCTGCCATTATCAAGCATTTGAGTGCTTCTGCTTAAACACAAGTCATTTATGGCTGTATGAAAGCCCTGCCCCATTTGCATGGGTGCTGAACTCGTTAAATTCCCTATCCATTCGTGTCTTCTTTTCCCCCCGAGATATTCCAGAGCCTTTATACGCATTGTAAGCTGTGAGACGCTGAGGTTTTCAGCAGATTCCAGTGGTACATACCCCCCCCACCCTTTTTGTTTCATTCATGTTCTTAAGAATTCTTCGGATTTTTCACAGTTTCGATTCGCTGGATCCTGCAGAAACTCGCGTAGCGAAATCCTGGACATTATGCACGCCGTTTTGGAAAAAAGCCATTGCTGGGCAATTAAAAACGAAGGAAATCGAGCGAGGGGGGTTTGGAGAGAGCCGGCAGAGCCAACAAATCGATATTTGTAAGAAGGCACACTGGTGTTTGCCTGACACCCCTCTCTGTGTGATTTCCTTCGGTTTCATCACCCGAGAAACGCTACAGCTCTCCAGTTAGCATTGCGGTTGAAAAGGTAACAATGATATGCTAGTTGTTAGTTCTGCAGGTCTGAATTGAACCAAGTAGTCCTGGGTATTGTGAGGGCCGCCTTGAAGAATAGACGACTCGCAACTCAGGGCTCGGCGGGGCTTGAAGACAAGAATGAACATTATTAGTTATGAAGCAGCCTGCGGTTTTTCGTGAGAGCCAGGCTCTCCGGGAAGGCCTTGGGGGCCTGACAGCTTGGTGTGACCGTGACCTCACCTGCCTGTCTTCACCCCTGTGTCTCTAGGCTCTGCGAGTGATGGCCAAGATCATGAGGGAGTGTTGGTACGCCAACGGGGCGGCTCGTCTGACAGCACTGCGCATCAAGAAGACCCTGTCCCAGCTCAGCCAGCAGGAGGGCATCAAGATGTAGGCCAGGAGGGGTCGAATAGTGCCCCCCATGTTTCTTCAAAGCTGCTGCTCCTCCTCTGCCTCCTCCTCCTCGTTCTGGGAAAGAGGAACGAGCCATTTGACAGAGGGTCCTCAGTCTGACCCCCCCCCCCCCCCCCCCCACCCAAACATCTCATCTCAGCGCCTAGACTACAAGGCTTCAGGAGAGGCTGTACTTTCCTACCTCACCGAGGTAACAGCGGCTGGATCACTGACTGATAGAGAAAGGCAGGCTTACATCATACAGGCGTTACCTCCATCCTTCCCCTGATTCTCCGTGGACTTCTCATTGTGCCTCTGGACCACCTTCCCCACCCCTCTGAACACACAGAGCCTCCTCACCTCCCCCCTCAAGAGCCATAGACCAGGGTTTATTTCTAATCACCTTTGGCTCTGTCCGGAGAAACTGCAGAAAGCCGATACAGGGAAGGCAGAAGCGCCATTACAAAACACACCTTAAACACGTGGTGTGTTTGCATTGACCAGTGTGAAGAAATATCCCCCAGAATGTTATACATAATTGATTCTCTGAATGGGTGGATGAAGTCTGTTACCTGGTTGCTAAGAACCAGTGTTTTAATTCATTTTTTTTTGTGCTTGGAAGTCGATCATCTGCTACAGGATTGTCTCTTTTCAGAAGTGATAGTGACAGATTTGTGCTCACCCCTTAACCCATATGATATAGATCATTGTTTCATTTTTTATTTGAATCAAACTCGACATGACCTCATTCAGTCTTGGCAAACATGCTATGACATATGCAAAAATTATATATACTTCTGTATATTTTATGAATTTACACCAGAAAGTGCCACTTCGGAATCAGTCTCATTGGCCCCCATGCGTTTTTTTGTGTGTGCGTGTGAGAGTGTGTGCACAAACGTTTTCAGCGGAGTCATACAGGTGTCGGCGGATGGTATGCAGTGTATCGATTATCGACTGCCTATGCCTGTCTCCTCTGGCCTGCCCCACCTCGTTTGGAATCAGCTTGGGTCGGCTCTAAACTCCACCCCTTTTTTCTGGGCAGCGCTCTACCGTGTTGCTGAGACTTATGGCTGCTCTCTTGCCGCCGAGCTTTGTCTGAACGGGGTGCGGTCAAAGCGTCGCTTTAAGAAAACACTTCTCAAGATGCTGTACAAATGTGCATGTACAAATGTGCATGATTTTTTTTTAACCTGCTGAAATTATGAACTCATGATTACAGTAATATAACAAATAGACATATATGTCGTGCCATAGGTGTTACAGCATTTTGTAGATTTCCCCCCCAGGATGGAGTGTGTGTGTGTGCGTGCGTGTGCGCGTGTGTGAGAGAGTGTGAGTGAGAGAGAGAGATTTAAAATTAACTATGTTTATGGTAAATTACTTAATTTGACCAAGCCTTAAGGGACCAATGGAAGGCTTAATTTTCCCCTTTTTTAATCTGTTTATTAAGTAGGTACTATGATCTGTATGACAAACAAGTAAAACTAAAACGGAATAAAAGAGTGTTGTGCTTTTACCGTATTATTGTATCCATAGCCATGCAGACCGAAACTGAAGACTGGTCCTTTTCTGCACACTTGAAAGTTGTTACTGTCGGTACCTCACGCTGCTGTATTCAGGATGCCCTTTAAAGAAAACCTCACTTTGTTGGTGAAGAATATTCGTAAAATTTTAGCGGGCAAACAAATGAAAATGCATATACGAAAACACTGTTCATTCATTTTTAACCGTTGTTTTAATGGCAACAAGTGCACTTGTGGGGAAAACGTCGCATGTGTAAGCGCAGTCATGCGGCCACGAGTTATCGTTCATTTTCTTTATGTATATTTTGAAGCCACTGTGCTGCTATTGTTTGTGCGAGCAAGGACAAAGAGGGAACAACACTCCTTATCGGCAGCTGCGTTGTTACATACGCCCTTTAGTAGGTGTGCCACTAACATTTAGTCCTGAGCCTGTTAACAATGGTATGGGGCAGCCACAACTTTAAAGGTCTCGATTATAACGAATTATTATTTAGTTAATGAAAATTCTTAATTAAGCAGTTACTTTTATACAAGTGTGAATGGTACCATTTTGTCCTGAAATCGACTCTTCAAATGATGCCAGTACTATTTTGATTCGTTTTGAAAATGTATACGTTCAGAATTAAGTATTACACATTAGTGTTTTGGTGTTAAAATGGGTCAGCAGCTGTTGCCTGTACTACTAAGCGGGGTTACTGGCTTATCGGGGTAACTTGTCGGATTTAAGGTAGTCTGGGCAAAAATGTAAGTGAACGCATAAGAAGTCCATTTAAACTGTGGTACCTTAAATCCGACAAGTTACCCCGATAAGCCAGTAACCCCGCTTCGTAGTACAGGCCACTGGAGATGTAAGCTTATCCTAACCTATGAACGGTGAGATGCGTGTTGCGTCTTACCTTATTAACACACAATGGTCAGTGGTGCAAATATATTTTTTATTTTTAGAGAGAACCAGTAGCAAGCCACATGCTCTGGGACACGGCATTTTCATTATACCCAGCTACTTCAGCCACGGGTAGCTCATTTCTGCGCAACGTGCCACTACTTAACCACCAGCAGCCTTTTTTGTTTTATATCAAAGTTAACCAAGCTGAAACATACACATCCAGGTATTCCTCAGCGACATGCAGGTATCTATATGGTCCTGATCGGACCAGCACACCAGCTATGACTTAAACCATATGTACACCTCTGGTTTCTTTAGCGGAGGCTTGTCGAGCCTTAAGTGTGTGTACAGCAGCGACATTCTTTTTCTTTGGAGGGGAAAGGGTACGGTCAGACAGATTAATTAACCGGCAGGCTGCGACCCAAAATCCGAAAGAGATCCGGCGACCCCACGGGTGAGTCGCTGTCTAGCGGGTCGCAGTCGATTCATTCATATTGCGCACGACGAAATAAACGTGACAGCGCGCATGCGTCAGTCGGTTTCTGTCGGATGTTTGCAGGCGCAAATACCTGGTCATCGAGGCCCAGGGCCGGAGAGACCAAGTTATATTTCCGATCGGGAAAAGGAACGGCTGCCGTCTGAACGGCGTAATTGTGAGGAAGGAAAGAATGAGCCTCAGGTCACAAGGGGGTGTAATTAGCTTTAAACCTGCAAGGTTTTTTTTCCCCTCTTTTTTTGACTGAGACCATTGTGTACAGATAGAGGAAAGCTTTTACATTTTTAGTGCCTATAGTTTGATTATATTTTTAACTGATCTTTTCCACCTGGAATGATGCACTGCATGAACCGAATTCTGACGTTTGCATCACTTTTTATAATTTGTAAATAGAAATATTATCGATGTTTAAAATATAAAAAAATGGCTTATGTGTTTACCTCATTGTACATAAACATATGTTTACTTTGGAAGTTTGCTTTCTTTTCTAAGAAACTTAAATAGTAAATTACATCAGCCGGTAACACTAGTCATGCATTGTATTGTGTTTCTGTTTTTCCGGAATTGGCTAGTCGTTACGGAATACTCAATTTTCTGTATTTGAAAGCTTTTCTCAAGTTAATTACGCGGTTTCTGAGTGGAGGCGAATGTAAGGAATACAATGCAAAATGTCTTGTTTACTTTGGGTAAATGCATTGAGTTCTTTGGTGTGTACGAGGAATGAATTATGAGAAATGGGGAACATAGCGATGACTGATGCTTAAGTTCTAACAGTGCTTGTAGAAAGTTGCAAAAATAAAATATGTTTACTTATATTTTGCAATTTTTTCTTCCTGTACCAAGTTGCATTGTAGCTGTTAGATATTACTAGAATGTTGACCTAATTAAAAAAAAAACACCCCCCAGCTGACATGACGTAATCGGATGGTCTAAAATACATGTAAGGACGTGTATCTATCTGACATCATGCGATATACTTGGCTACATTAAAACGAGAACTTGGCGTGCCATAGCTACGTGCTAAATACAGAGACGTCGTCAGTCGATATAGTTGGGTAATTGAACAAACTCAATTATGTTAGGAAAGTAGTGCTTGCAAAATTAGCTGCAGCTCTTCGGAAAAGAGGCATTCTTTTCATGAAGGCTGAAGTTCTGTTTGATATAGGCTTATGTAATATATTTTCAGCGTAACCTATAAAAGAATACTTGTGCAGTATACCCATTTTAGATAAATAGTCTAGATTAACGAAACCAAAAAGTATATTAGATTAGATATACATTTTGAAAAATAAAAAGATGACACATTAAAACTACACAAAGAGGTTAGACAATACGACAAAAGACGACTGAATGTCAGGAAGATCCCTTTATCATCCACTTTCCTTTGGAAAGTATTGATTATTTTGTTTTACCTTGCATTAGGCCTACATATTTAAATGCATTCATCCCATCCATGGTGTTACCGTCGTTGTGCCCTGTAATGGATTCCAAGATCACCGCGCCTTTACTTGCATAATCGGTTATAGAAAATGAAGTGGATATTATATGCAGTATGAAATCACGAGGGCGCTTCTACAAGTGCATACACAATTTTCATATTTATGTAAAACAGCACACGTTGACGGTGTCAAACGTGCCGTGTATTAAACCAAGTAACGAATTAGACATTTCAGATAACGGAACGCACATTTTATGTAAAAAAAATAATAACATTCAGTTCGTGACGTTCAATTATTTCTACTCGATAAAAAGCAATACTTTATGTGGCAGAGAGTTTTAAATATGTTTAGATGAACCCGATTGTAGATGAGCAATGTAATAACCTCCAGAAATTTCCTAACGGATTACGGTTCTTCTTGTGGCATGTAGGCATTTAAGGAGAGGCAGGCCAGCGTAAAATGCCTGAATCAACTGACCCATTGAAAGTGCACAGTATCGTTTACGACTAGCCTACTGGGACAATGCTTTGTATGGTGTGACAAGTAAGACCATTCTACAGTAATCTCCTACAACTACTCTAGTTTCAGTTCAGATATTATTGTACCGAAGGGCAAAACGGCTTATTTACATGCTCTATAATCAGTTTCAGGTTTGTATATTTCTTGCATTGAAAGATAGCTTGAGTACTAAAATTATGCATTCGCGGCTGCAATTAAGACTGTAGCTCATAATCACTGGAGTGGTTTCCACGTTCTGAACTTAACTGAATGAAAATCTTATAAAATGTAAATAATATAAATGCTTTTCTTTTCTATAAGGAGAACACATTTTCCATTAACGTAATTCCCTTGACATAATTCGCATTAAATAGTAAACATACGACACTCATGAATGTATAGGCCTACATACAAAATAAAACAATTTGTGGCTAAACTTGTGTCGTTCTGTAAAATAGGCGATTTTTAAAAACTAAATCTTTTGAGTGAACGGAAATCATTTCGGCAACTGTACTAATTCGTTTATTTCGCTCAATGAGTGATTAGTCGTTCAGTTCCTTCAGTTTTCGCTGAATACTTTATGGTTCAGTTAATTGAGGAGTGAACTACAGTAGATGCTGTTTAGGAAAGAGAGACCCGCTCTTTCGCCACCCACTGGTAAATCACGTAAAGAAGTCTGTCAGACGCGGAATGGCAATTATAATTTAACTAACATCCAATGACATATGCAATGACATATATATATGCGATTAATCGGTTTTAATAATAAACATTTAATAAATGCAAACACTTTAAATATATTTTTATTAAAAGGGATCACCCCCATTTGGAATATATCCAAAGGAGACCTGCATGGGGATTGGAAATATCAGTGGCTACCTGTCAAAACGACGGATTAATGAACGATTCTTAGCAACTTCTTTGAAATCGAAATAAAAGATTAACTGGTAAAAAAAACATGATTTTCATATCTAATTGTGACATCACAATGTCCGAGACAATCAGGGGAGAAACCTGTAAACGCAGTGTTATACTGCACTCTACTGGAACGATTGGTAATGTCGCAGTGAGAAGTAATCCCTCTGATACATGCAAGCCTGGTGTTCTGTCGAGTTGAGCTACTTTGTCGAGTTAGGCTACCGTAGTGCTAATCGATAGCCCTAACCTTAACTCTTACCCTAACCCTAACCCCCCAGAAACCCCTAAAACCCCTACCCTAACCCTAACCCAAACCCCTAAAACCTAACCCTAATCCCAAGACGGTGGAACTGCACATGCGCAAAAAGGCTCGGTAGTACGTCTCGATAGGTAGCTCAACTCGTCAGAACACAGGCATAACATAACCGTAAATAATTATATACCGGAGCATGTGATCGGCCGGCATCAACTACCTGTTACCCCTTTTAACTTTTTAGGTTGTTAGTCAATGTAATAACGAAAAATACACTCATATTCCTGTGCTACGAACGAAATATCACATGTAAAATTAAGTATTAGAGTTCAGTCACGATCATAACCCCAAAGATTGCTCAGAACAGCTGAGTCAAAGAGCAATGTGGCGAGAACCAAACACTATGAATGAGAAACATTAATTTATTATGATTTTTAAAAAAGAAATGCGATATGGCGATTTTAAAAAGCACTGCAAATATGGTGCATTAGTATTTGTCTTAACATTTGCTTTCATTTTATTTGGGCATTTAGCTATTGTGTATCTGTATTATTCCGATGTTCAGAGATGTGCAATGTCTTGGTACTGTTCTACATCACTATGGATTGCCTGTTACCACGGAGATAATTCCTGCAACCTTGTCCACTCTCTCGAATCTTAAGAAAATTAATATACTAAATTTAGTCATATGCAAAAAATGTTATGAAATGAAAAGGAACCGGGTGCAAATTAATTTGATGTAGCACTTATAATAAACCAACATTATATTATTGTGAAGAGTAACATATGAAGGCTAACTGCGGTGTGATATTTGAGTGTAAAGGTTAGGATTTCCAGAATACAATGTATATGCAATGTTGCAGTGAACATCTTTGATCTTTATCAGATTAATAATTTAACGTTATTAGGACTTAATTCCAGAAAGGATTCAATTGTAAAAAACGCTCGTTTTTCCACCTGTAATGATACAGATAATTAGTAGATAAACCGTGAAATAGGTGTTGGTGTTGGGTTTTTTGGATTATGTTGTTCTCTGTAGCATTGGCCACTTGTTATTAGTAGGATAGTGAGCCAGCTTTAGTGGAATCATTTCTGTTCATTTTTATATTACCCACTGCATATTCCTCTGAGTATATAAATCCCAGGCTTTTGCATCAAGGATATGCAAGAGAAATATATCAAGAGCCTTGTGGCGAAAAGCAAAATTAATCAGTCTGGAAACTGCTTTGTGGGATATTCTCTACATAATCAATCACTGTCTAGAAAGTGAGCCTTTATCAAAGAGTCTAGAGGAAGGAGAGGATGCCTGAAATCACATGTTGAGTTTAAACATAATTCTTGACTCTCATTTATTGCATTTCATGAAAGATATGCAACCGATTCCTATGAGGATCATAAAGATGCCGCGCTGATCACATTGTAGAACACCTCAGTAAAACTGAAAACAGCTGTAAAATCCTTTGGACATTTTGATAGTAATGTACATTTTTTTGATGACAGTTCAGCAAACCTTCTGCAGTGGTAGATGCTGTAGAACTAACTCAAAGGCACAAAACTTTATACCCTATACTTTATATCTTACACATGGATGAACTGCAAATTGGCATCTTTAAATTGCCCCATGGTGTGTGATTGTGTGCCCTATAATGGACTGGCATCCCATCTAGGGTGTCCCCTGCTTCGTGGCCTTAGCTTCTCTGTGATCCTCCACTAGATGGACCGATATTAGTCATTTTGAATAAATGGAGCAAGTAAATGGAAATAAAGCAGAAATGTAACTGGATGAAAAGGCAGTTTGATAATGGGATTTTTATATCAAGTAGGTGATTTTGTGGCCAGAACAGCTGGTTTTGTGTCCATTCAGAAATCAAAATTGGAATCTTATTCCCCAAGGGGGGAATGCAGCAATGGGCTTGCATCTTGTTGCAAACCTTCATATTGAGCATAGATGGCGATAAAGAGCAGAGCACTATGCAGGATGGGCGTGGCACCGAGGCTTGCAATAAGAGTAATGGCTACCCCTCTGATGAGATTCAGTCAATGTTATTACTTATCAACACGTTGCACTTCTAGTCCTCGTTTTAAATTAAATGTATAGTAATTTGCGGACATTCAGCAAGCCTTAATAGTTTTTATTTTGGTGTTTAGGGGACATGCCCTATGTGCAACTAGAAGGAGGTTTTTTAATAATGATAAGGTGATGATGAAATGGTGCATATTACCTGGAAAGCTGTCAGAGTACTTGTTTGTTAAGTGGTATTTTATTTGACCGAGTACAGTGTTATGGATGTAACCTGATCTCGCGGCACAGGAGAAGTTAAACTCTAAATATGGGATTGTAGCCTTATTTAAATGCATCCAAGGCATAACATTGATGCAAACATCACAGCCATGTAAGGAGGCCAACATATTGAGCAAATTGCATCTCTGATTCGAAGAATTTGGTCGGCGTGTACATGTGTGTATGAATACAGTACCAGTCAATGAAACAGTCGGAAATTACCTGGACACTGGCATACTCATTGCAGAGGATACTTGTCAGGACTAGATGGTCAAATGAAAAATAATTCAAAATTCTAAATTAGGAATATTGCTTATGGGAATGAAGTCCACAGAAAAGGCTTTAATTCTAAGCGAATCATCGTGAATCTTTCTCTAGCCTTTTTTGTCCCTGATCTGGCCGCAGTGCCGAAGCAGCATTTCATCAGCTGCCTCCCTGTGCTCTTCCAGACCCCCTCCTCCTTGCCCATTGCCCCACCCAATCGTCCCCCTCCCCACCAGTGCTCCTGTGGTCTGCTGACCTCATCCCACCCACCAACATAGATCGCTCAAGCTCACGGGATCCTGACGGAACGTCCACACTCTGCCCAAGCCTTCCGTCGGCCAAGTTGCTTTTTATCACGACCGGCCTGTCATTTCTGGCTGAAGTACTGCTGCTTATTTACCTCTAAACCTCCAGCGCATTTGCCGTGCTGTGCATTTAATAAAGAACTCGGGTGCCGTAGCGGCCTTTGCCAGTCAGCTCTTCTGGTTGTAGGTTGTTTTTGGTTATATATTTTCACATTATTTTTGCATTAAAACACTGAGGACCCTGTGGGTCATTCCTTCACAGCTGTCTTGCTCAGAAAATAAGCAACTTCCTTTTCCTTTTCACCCCAATGCAAAGATGTTCCGCTTATTTTGTTTATTTACTTACATATCGATTACCTCCCTCACAGCAGATTGCCTGGCTCTCCAGATTATTAACCCTTAAAAAAACAGACATTTTGAAAAAGGAAGAAAAAGATGAATGCACATCAAAGGATAAGCCTATGATTGATATTACAGTCATTACTTAATCTGTGAAATAATATGTAGGTCAATTACGGTGAAATATAATGGAAGAAATATTTATTAACCATCATTTGGTAAAATAGAAATAAATCACAGGAAATGCTTTTCTGTACTATCCTGAAAACCGCCCTTTAAAAAAGCTGTCGGTGGACAGAAGGATTGTAATCCTCGCTGTCTTAAATGACTCAGTAGCTTGGGAGGGTCCTGACAGTGTGAGTTGCCCCCCCCCCATGACTTCAGTGCCACAAATCATCCCTACCTTCCATAGACAAGCCCAGAAACATAGGACATTGAGCCAGGATAGAGTGCTGTGTTACTATTGAGCCTTGTGCTGCGTCCCTGCATTGTGATGTCATAATTTGACAATGCAAACCCTTCCTGCATTCTCAGCTGCTTGTTGGCGATTAAACAGAAGCTGTGTCGTTAGGGCAATTTGTAAGGGCACAGCACCTTCGTAGATAAAATCTTGTTCAGCGGTCTTACATACCGGCTGTAGTCACTGTCTTGGAAAGACCAAGGAGAGATGACTTCATGAATATTTATGAGGGAGTCACTCCCTGGCTTAATAGGGAAGAGGCTTTGAAAATGCATTTAGGTGCAAAATGACAAATCAGCACTGTACCAAATAAAATGATTTTGTTTTTTAATTTTGATGCGCTGTTTTTTTGTGATGCATTTATTTGCAAGAATTAATGAAAATGAGAGTAATATTCTCAGTCTGCTCCTTGCGTGCTCGAATCAGAGACACATGCTGGCAGGTACTGAACTCCAAACACTGTTATATTGTGCTTCCAATCTGTCATCATTAATTTAAGAGAAGGATGTTGTGCAAATCTGATGAAATCTACCAGAGAGAAAACCTGC